TGCCTGAAAGGTTGTTCTGATGCTGCACACCAGAAGCAGGCTGAGCATGAGCGCCTACGCCGGGCAACGAGCTCTACACCACCCTACAAGCGAAGTGGCATGAGCTTCTGCAAGCGATATCAGGCTATCCTATCAAAAGCTCTCTTCGCTGAAAAGAGGAATGTCATTTGGTGCCGACCTTGGCAATGCACGGCAGCCTGCATCCGAAGGACGTAAACCCCGCACTCTTCGGCCTCGGCCGAAGTTGCATCTGTCCATTCGAACCTACAGTATCAAGGCTTCATCAAAGGCATGTTAACAATAGCAATCTGGGATTATAGGTTTGTCAGATTATATAGGGAATACATGGACACATCGACAACTCTTGAAGACTCGTTAAATATAGAGCTGGAGGGGTGTGTGGAGCTTAAAGATGGGTTCTACCATACTGGTGTAAAGTGGCTAGCCAGGCTTTGCAGCCGTTCAATAAAGAGATGTGGTTACACGAGGTAAATGGAGGTCTGTATTGTATCACAAATCAACTCCTCGCTGGGTCTTTGCATGTCGACGTGGATGCGCCGCATTCGAGAAATTGTAAGGGGACATATGTAGAGCTGTAACCCGCACAGGAGCGAGAGCTTTTTGTCCCTTGGTTCCGTTTCCCAGCCCCGTTCCTGAGGAAATAATCTCAAACTCATTGAGAAGCTACGGAGTTAACATTCAACATGGAGCAATCTGAGATGTATATTGATTTCTATACGGCATCTGTCGATGTTTCAGACTCTGACCACATTCTAGGGAGGCACACTTCGCCCGGCAATGGGCATCTACCTCGAAGTCAGGAACCGAGCGCATGGAGCCAAACGACCGTCGAACAATCAAGATTTTCAGGAATTATGACGATATCAAAGAGGAATTCCTTGGAGGGATGGACGAAATTCATCAGGAGATTGGCATGCTCGAGCCACGTTTTGTGTATCTAAGAAGCTTTAGTGATTACTTTTCCACAAAACTCGGTCCTGAGCTTAATCCAGAAGTCTTCTGGGGCCTTTTTGGGCTAATCCTAACAGCAAGGTAATAATTCCTCAAACTGTCGAAGCCATGATTGTACTGACAACAGCGCAGATTGCTCTACCCGACGAAGAGGCAACGCGGCGAATCACTCAGATGCTCAAGAGGTTGGGCCGAGCCTGTCAGACCTTCCAACTCCACGCGGGTCAAAGTTCTACTCCATCAAAGGATGAAAAGGAGGCATGCTTTGAGATCTTTGTTTCGATGACAAGGTTTCTATCAGATGCTATTAGGTTTCTGCGGGATGCTGGAGACATTGCCAGCCTCTCATCGCCGCACGGTAGGATCTAGGACTACGCAAACCTGACTGTTCCGCTCGTTGATTCCTTGTAGGTCACGCGCAGGGATCGTGGGCCAATTTGACGGTCATATACGACAATGCCCAGGCCGAGATTGATGAGTCGTTGAAAGAGATTGAGAAGATTGCAGAAATCTCCCAGAGGCAGGCTACGATGTTGTCGTTTCTGGCCCTCTCCCCTCGCTCCTTCGCTGACAAGGCCAAGTTGCCTTGCTATGTGCTACCCACTGCCAGTACGAATCGATTCTTCAACCGTGACGAAGTCATCGAGGAAATAGACCATCAACTCGGAGAGCAGAGAATCGATGGCCTGCGATCACTCGCGCTCTATGGCATGGGTGGTGTAGGCAAGAGTCATGTCGCCTTGAAGTACATCGAAAAAAGGAAGGCGGAGAAAGGCCTCGCTGCGATATTCTGGGTCCACGCTGAGAACATAATATCGTTTCAGCAGAGCTTTACCGATATTGCTCTGAGACTAGACCTCCCTGGAGCCCAACGAACCTTGCATGAAGAGAATCGACTAATCGTGAAGGACTGGCTTCAGCAGACGGGTCAGTCGTCAAAGCTTCTTCGAATCCCGAGGCTTGACTAACGTGAATAGAATGCAAATGGCTCATAGTGTACGACAACGTGGAGAGTTTTGATCTTCTGCGGGCCAATTGGCCCTTGCCAGGTAGCCAGGGCTTAGCATTGATCACGACACGAAACCACTCGCTAGCCTTTGACCCAGCCAGTGGAGGTCTCGAGGTTCCCTCATGGAATACAGAGAATGGCACCAAGTTTCTCTTGCATCTACTATCTGGTCATATTAGTGCAGATCTTCTGGCGAACGAAGCGAAGTCTGCATATAGTCTGTCCGAAAGACTCAGTGGTCATGCGCTGGCAATCTCGAATATGAGTGGACTCATTCAACGTCGGTCATGGTCAATTTCTCAACTCCTCGATAATTACGGAAGCAATCTAAACTTCAAGGACGGCTTAGAGGCGGTCTGGAAGGTTTCATTCCAGAATCTGAAGCCTGACAGCGCCGCTTTGCTGGCTGCATTTAGCTACTGCGCTCCTGACAGTATTCCTCATTCGCTATTTGAGTTGAAAGAAGCCGAGGATCTGCCTGATAGCTTACTCTGGTTCCTTGATGTGGATAGGTGACAACGCCCCTTTAAGTTGCATGCGTTGTGGTCGCTAATCAGGTACCTGACAGATTTGAAGAGGCAATGGAAGAGCTATTGACTCTAGCACTCGTTAAGAGGGACAGGCAGACCCAAACTTACTCCATCCATCGGCTTATCCAGACTCACTTCCTACGTTATATGACGCCAGAAGACCGGCAAAAGTCATTCATAGAGGCATCACATCTGATGGAAAATGTGTTCCCAAAGAGGCCAGACGGCAAAACGGCAACGATGTACAATGTGTGGGAGCAATGTCAGCTGTGGGTACAGCACGTATTGCAACTCAAGAATTGTTTCAGGCTCGAGAGGAGGCGCAATCTCGGTTTCTACGCTTGCACGAAGACCTGCGCGATGTGGGCTCAATGTGGACGGTCGGCATACATCTGTCCAAGATTTCGTTCATGCTAGCTAACTTCTTCACTAGGTTTCTATTGGAGCAGCAAACTTGGCCTGAGCTTGAAGACCTTGTCGAAATAGGCAAACTGGCCTTGGCAACCCTTCCTGAACAGGACCATGAGCTGTACAACCTAACCTCGCCGGACACGTATATTGCACAGATGTGGGCGCGCCGAGGTCACTATCGCCTGGCAATAGAGGTGATGGTGAGCGCACGCAACATGAAGTTGAAGGCTCCTCAAGAAGATCACCAAAATTTGAGCTGGATGGCGAACAACATATCTGCATTTTACTCCTGCTTAGGCGAGTATAAGACCGCTTTGGAATGGCAGGAAACCAGCAGGGTTTCTTGGGAGCTATGGGCCAAGTCTGAGAATGTTGAATTCCATTGGCATCCGAACCAAAGATACGGCAAGGGGAGAACTTTGGCTTACATGAAGAGGTACGACGAAGCTAGAACCGACATCGACGAATCCCTAGAGGACATGCTTACAACCAAGCCGGTTATTTGGGGGACGGCGGGACCGTAAGTTCTGAACCCCTGAGAATGGACTCAATCTTAAGTGCTTGGGACAGCTCCGGCTAATGTCTCGTCATTTTGCCTAGGTGTCAGTTCGCTCGTGCTAGACTAGCCATGTTCGAAGGAGACTTCAAGCTTGCTGAGCTCTTGTTCCAAAAGGCGCAGAGCATATGGCTCACGGGCAACAGTTCCAGAACGTCGGACTTCTACGCGGCTACAATTTACCGCATGGGATGTTGCGCGCTACTCGAAGGAGAGGTGGAACGAGCTGTGTAAGTCTAGATCTGGAAACATATAGTGGCCTTTGTTAACACCACCCAGGAAATACCTCCAAGACGCGATGGCAATTACATCATTGCGAAAGGATATCCAGGTAGGGGAGCATGCTCGCTGTCTGCACAAGCTTTCAGAGGCTCTCTATCAGATATCTGGTCGTGAACTGGAAGCGGACAGACTGCTCAAAGACGCCGAGGAGCTCTACTGGAAGCGTATCGAAAAGGCCAGAGGGGTTTCGGAGGAAGACCACGCAGAGTACGAAGTACCACAGATTCATCCCCAAGCGGAAGATTACGACTCTTTAGTCTATATGCTATGGCGCTGAACATTAGAGAGAACTTTCATAGCTATAATTTGATATTGAATCCAATCCTGGTGCTGAGAGCCGAATAGTCGATCAGGGATGTTGCCCTTCTAAAAATACCCGTTGGCGGTCCAATTGCAGTTCTTGTGATTCCGTGCTGCTTGAAGGTAAGGCAGTGTGACTTGACGGCACACATGGCTTCGGTGGCTGGCTTGTGTGGCGCAGTTCGCCGAATAGGCCTCAGGAGGAACACGACAAATGGTGTAAAGCAAAGTATCGCCGAGCTAATTTGACAATTATACTAACCTTTGAACATATGGATATTCTCAACATGCCTTCGTGAGAAGAGTCCGAATGCCCAATAGGAGTTGAGCGGCATATGGTGTATAGAAACCCTCACGGCCGTGTCCTTTCCCGGAGAAGGGAGGTTGGATTAGGCGAGGGACCCATCGCGGTACCTTCTGCATGGTGTGGACCCGCTGACTAAGAAAACAGGCGTGCACGTTCACCTCTGAGCTCCTTGAACCTTCAACCTCTTTCAACTTCGAAGAGCTCAACTTCACGACAAACAAATACTTGCGACAGACAGCGAATAATTGCACTTTAATCGTACTTGGCTATCTCCGAATATTTCCTGCTCCCATACAGGATTCGAATTGGATCGACAACTCAGGCTAATTGGGGCAGGTGCCTACTGTCCTGAGCAACATCGAACGAAGTGAACCCACCACGAGACCAGATCCACTTCATAGTTCGCGACGGCCTTCATCAACAAAAGCGCAGTATGTGCTAGCACATCTAGCTTATCCCGCGGTCATCTCAGCTATTAATTCCCCATAAATTTGACTCACGGAATTACTGGCAAGCTGCCTCTGGATACCTAGGGACTGTCTGAGGCGGCCGTTCATCTCATCGGAGCTCTCACTCGGCCCTGGCGCGAACCTCACTGTCGTCGACATCTGAGCAATCACACATAAACCCAAGATGTCCGACTTAGTAGAGTACTCAGTTGTCAACGTGTGTCGAAGCGACGGCCAGGACAATGGAGCGGGTTACTGGCCAACCCCTGCCGATACGGCTGCGAAGAACGCGAAGAAGACAGCACTGGAGAAGGTACCAAGAGCGAAACCTCAAATGGTGCGGTTAGACAAAGATGACGCAAGATTTCAAGAGTGGCGCATAAAGCTGGGAATCTTGTTGAAGCAAGAACTCTCTCCGACAGGTAAGCTCGCCGTCCGCAAATGAGAAGTAGTACATTCACTGATACCCTTCCTAGAGGGTCTCCCCTGGCTCCTGCATTTTCCACGGGGCTACTGGCTGTACGAAAAGTCCAAGCATCTTTGGGTCTCGGGGCATCCAGTGAAGTCGAAGCTTTACAAGAGCCCGCAGGAATTTGGTCTTCATGTCCTATGGCTCCTGTCCGGCTCGATGGACCGAGCTGACTGCCGTTGCATTCACTGCAACGTTCGCGAAATGCCAAACATGGAGGATTTGACTGTCTCGGATGTTCCTCGGCCTCTGCCAGCAGCGAACAACACTCAGCCACCGTCCAAGATGCGCAAGATTACACCTCAAATACCGCCAGGCGTTGCGGGGTCCCCGATACCCGTTCCCGCAGCGGCGTCAACGCCTCCCATCGCGAAGAAGGAGACACCTGTGCCAGTGCCCACCCCAATGGCGAAGAAGGAAACTCCAGTTCCGATACCGACGATACCTTCACGTGCGGTGCCAGCCCCCGCCCCGGCGCAAGCCCCAGTTCAGCCTAAGCCTCCTGTGCAGCAACAGCAGCAGCAGCAGCAACAACAACAACAACAGCAGCAGCACCCTCCTCAGCCGATCCAGGCAACTCCTGTTCATCCGCAAGCTCAGGCTCCATCACAGGTTCCCGCTCAACCTCAAGTCCAGCAACCAGTCCAGCAGCAAATCCAGCAGCCGACCCAGCAGGAACAGCAAGTGCAGCAACAGCCTGCTCCAGCTCCGACCCAGGCTCAACAGCAGGTTCAACCTCAGGTACATGCGCCGGCACCGCCGGTCTATCAGCAACCGCAGTTCCTGCCTTACCCGCCGCCTTACGGTGGAATTGTAGCTCCGGCGCTGTTCCGCGTCGGAGAACTGGTTTGGTTCCAGATATCGTCAGGTTGGCGTTTGGGCATCGTGGCTGCTACAGGTATTATCAACCCTAATACCAACAAAGCCGAGCTTCAGATTCTCCCAATGTCACATGTCAACTTTAATCAGTCGCCCATCCAGACACTGGAAGCGACAACGCGCCCGTTTCTTGCATTTTCGGTGCCTAACGTCAGCATTTCGGATCTACAAAACAAGGCCTACGACGAGGTCGATTGGGATGCCTTCTTCCAGACGATTACTCCGGAAGACACGCACCGCCGCGAGGTTGCGCTACTCGACTCCTCCAAGATGGCCGCCCAGAAGGTTGGCGTGTCGTTCTCTGTTTTCAGCCGACTTTCCGAGACCAATGGAGGGAAGAAGATCGACTACCACGGTATCTTCCTGGGCGCCGAGCGGATCGAACTTGGTGATGTCCTGCGCGTGCGTCTTTCCGCTGAGCAAGGCGTACCTCCCGCGGCGGCGAATCTCCCCGACGCACTCCTCGGCCTCCGTGAGATCTGCACCGCGCCTATCGATTCACCTGGTAACGCATTCTTCAAGGGAGATATATACCAGCCCATCACCGGCGACAACCAACCCGTGGGTGGCATCCCAGTACCGGATGACAAACTCCCGCGCCCACTGCGCGACGAGATTGCGTTCCGCAATAAGTTTGCCGCGAGCGACCGCTGGCGCTGCGTGCTCCTCAAGCAGAACGCTGTCCTTCGCGAGCCGGATCTCAAGGGCCGATTCTACCCCACGCATAAGCTCCTACCCCTGCTCGATGGCCAAGCCAAAGTTCTTGCTGAGGTGCAGAAAGGCATCGTGCGTGACGTGCAGCAGCGACTCAACCAGCGCATCGACACGTTCAAGACGGCGTACATTGGCCAGAAGCGGACCCGCGTCGAGACTTTCGGGCCTGCCCTGCCTCCTGGCAGCGTGATCCAGTTTGAGCAATCCGTACGTGAGGATGGCGCCTAGGCGGGACGCCTACGACGTCGCTGGAGAGAAGTGTCTCATTTCTGACGAAGGAACTTGAGACGGTACTTGTTAGGATAGACAGGCATCAGAACCCTGTATAGATTAGGAATACTACATAGACGCCGTTAGGATTTGATGTTACCATCCGGTTCTTTGGAGTGTTTAGTCGGACATGAACGTGCCTTTGCATTTCTTGGTATTTCCATGTGAATCATCTAGCCTGATAGGCTGTAGTTGGCTAGAGCACATCGTCATATGAGTCTTTAGCCAATACTACTTGGACAACAAGCCAAGACGGATACGCCGGGCGGCAAGATATGACCAAGATGGTAACATCTTCACTCCCCTGTGAGAGACATTGACTGTCCAGAGAGTAAGTCGACGAGTTAGGTAGGTGACACACATCCAAGGTGGGATCCGCAACATCCACAACCTCGAATGCGAGATATCAGCTAGTCGACGAGTATATCCCAGACACATACACACAGACACACACGTAAACGCCATCATCTTAACAAGAAACAACAACACCACCCAATTAGCGAAGAAGGCCTAGCCACACTCCTTCTCTTCAGCCCCGCCACTCACCTCCCCTCAAGATCATCTTAAACGAACCTCATCCTATGAATATCCCGTAAGCTAAGCTATCTACCCACAGATTAGGTTTCATAACATAGACCACCAAATGAGTGGAACGATCCATGACAGGAGGGGAGGGGTTGCGAGGAGGAGGAGGAGGAGGAGGAGGAGGGAGAAAGAGAAGAAACGTTCCGTGGTTCCCCAGCAGCGTAACCAGCCAACCACCCATCAGAACCCAAACTGCCGGACGGGGGACAGACGCGCAACACACACGAACGGGCTGACGGGTTCACCACCACACCCACACACCGGGCGGATAGGACCGACCGAACAAATCTTGGAAAAAGGGAAACTAAGCAAGAACGCCACCGGATTACCTTGACTTCACTACACACACCAAACCGTTTCCACTCTCTACTACTGCTGCGGTGCAGTCACACACACCTCCCTCTCCCTATAATTCTGCAACGCTATACCCCGTACACGTGCAGACACGAACTTTGGCCCCCAAAACCGCACGCAACGCACGTCAGCAGAGAGAGAGAGCAGAGCCCGTAACCTAACCCCAAGATTGTACGCACGCTCTATGCCTGGGACCCTTATTCGTCCTACGATAACCGCCCTTTCCCACCCAACGACTAGAACCTTTGAAAAAAGACAACGTTGTCTAGACCCCCCTAGGTTCTTCTCGGCCCCTTTTCTAGCTTACCTTCTAGAAGGGGGTGTCTGTCATACGGATTTACGGGTTTTTGGGGCGGCCGGGTCGGCTGAGGTCGCCCCAACCCATCCGCATACACACACACACACATACACACGAGACTAAGTATGTAGTGTACAGATAGATGCAACTGACAACCAACCAAGATACATCTTCTGCAACCACCGTGGCGAAGCCAACCAAGCCAGTGGAAACCCTTTCCAAGGCCCATCAAGAAAAAAGACCACCCACCCATTGTAGCTTCAGAAACCTTCCATAATTTCTTCTCACGAAAATGAAAGCCCGAGAAACCGTATCCAATCCGCCCTCACAAACGGACACCGCCCGCAAACCAAGCCCCCAATGGAACACCAACACCCACCTCACCCACACACACACACCCCTCCATCACACCGCACCCAATGATCCCGATTCCCGCTTCCGCCACCCCCTTTCAAGGCACCACCACCTCCCGGGCTCACGGGCTCGTGGTACCAAAAAAAAAAAAAAAACACAGAGAGGTACGCAACAACACCACATCAACCTCGAAGAAAAAACCGTTGCCGACCGACTTCCCGGGTTTTGAAGCGGGTTCCAATGGTCCGTCCGTGCTTGGCAAATTGTCTAGACCCGTACCACGGTAGCCGACAACTCAATCAGAACCAAAAATCCCGTTTTCTGTCCAGACTTGCTTTTTTGGCACCTCGGCACGTCTTAACAGTTTTGGAATTAAGACATCCCACAGGTTACGTTACACCAAGTGACATCGTCGGGGGAAGGAAAACCACGACTCAGTCTTCGTCAACTACCACTAAAGGTCAGATGAGATTATTCTCTTAGTGTAGGACCACCCCGAAGATTCGGGCCGATGATACGTTCTCGGACATTTCACGGTAATAGGTCGATCACAGTCTCATATGACACAATTGGGGAAAAGGGACAATAGCCTATCCAAAAGCCAAGGTTTGGGGTCGGAAGCCCGTTCTTTGGGTATACTTTAATAAAAAGTACCAAGTGGTAGTAGTATGAGTAAATGATGATTCGTGAGAGATGGCAAGAAGGTGATGATGAGATGAAAGGAGAATAATTCGCTTTCCGCTTATAGGCTAATCCGCCCACCCTGATTGGACCCGTCTTGTCGGTTCTGGTCCGTACTCCTAGTATTACTGCTCTGTTCTTTGTCGCTGCAATGCAACTCCTCTGCTTCATTCCAAGCCGCCAGACTCCGATTCGTCCCGTCTTCCGCGATTATGGCCTGATCCACCCCCTCCTCCCAATCCAGGTGCGTCAGGGTACGTCTCCTCTCCCTCAATTCTTTCTTTCTTTTCTCTTCGAAACAGGCTAGTTGTATGCAGTAGGTAAAGGTCGCTTCGCTCGGCAGTAAAAGGTACTTTTGTTTGGTCGAGACAATGCTGGGTCGTGATCGCATGGTGCGTGAATGCTTCTTGTTCATCGTCATCCCTCTGACTGGTGGTCGAGACAGAGGGGTATGTATGGCAGCGGCGGAATAAAAGGTATGATGTGATGCAGATGATGATGGTGGTGGATAGTCGTGTAGTGTCGTTGTAGTGCAAGAAAGAAAAAGATGTTGAATGCATGTGCGACATGAATAAATCGGATGAAGGACTTGTGAAGCGCCGTAGAGATGGAGGTTGACCAGTAAATGCCGTAGGCTCGCTAGTAGAGATCCACCACTCCGCCATATCCAAGAGCCTCCAATCCAACTCAATCAAGTCGGACGGTTAAAAAAGTCATGGCTGGCTGTGTCATTACTTGAGTTTTAGACTCTCGATCTTGGCCTGTATGCTCTTGAGTATCTCTGGGTCTGGCTCGGGTTCGACCTTGCGTGGCTTCAGACGAGAACAGTCGACACACTTCTCATGCTGACATTTCTTGCATGCGGTTCCATCTTCCACACCTCCAGGGTATATCGTCTTGCACTTATGGCATTCGTGATGCGGCACAGCATTCGGACCAAATTCGTCGCCAGGGTAACCAAACGGATACTTGTCCTTCTTGGGCCTGATACAATGTTAGCTGTCAGTCTCGACATACGGAATGGTGCAACATACGGGTCTCTGGGACAGTCAGTGCAGCGATTGTGGCTGCACTTGGAGCATGTCTTGCTACCAGCAGTGAACAGCGTCTGGCACTCGTGGCAAGTTCTCCTGACCCTCTGACGCGGCTTCTTGTAAATGAGATCCTGTCCTCCGGTCTTGCTGGGGCGCTTGAGGACAATGTCCTTTGCGTTCTTGGCGTCGTAAGAGTAGTCGGGAACAATGGGTGCGTTCTCCTTCTGAGCCTTGAGAATGGCGGCCCGCTTCTCCCGGCTGGCGATGCGCTCGGCCTCGGTTCGCTTGGGCGGGTGGCGGACGCACTTGGTGCAACGAACGTGCTGGCAGCCCGGGCACTCTTTGGCGGCAGCAAAGGTAGCATTGCACTTGTGGCAGGTTCGGTGTACGCGCATGCGAATGGGCTTCTCGACGCGGAGAGCAGTGCCCTCGGTAGAGATCCACTCGCTCTGCTTGATCTCGAGACCGAATCTCTCGCCCAACTTCCTGGCGCGCTCCTCAAACAGCTCGGATCGGGGAACCCTGGTGACGCCCTCGAGATCCTCGTACTTGCTCTTGGGGGTCTCCTTCTTGGTGGTGTCCTTGGCGGTCTCCTTGGTGGTGGTGGCAGCGGCAGGTTGCTCGGTCGCAGGGGCGGCGGTGGATGGGCTGTATGTACGTTAGATAGGTAAAGCAGGCAGGGTACCGTAACACCAAAAAAGAGTTGAAGATGATAAAGCATGCGAAATATCTTGCTTACCCAGGGGTAGCGGCTTGCGCAGAAGACTGCTGTCCAGTGGTAGACAGGGTCGACATGCGCTTGGAGCTATCGCCTCTCTTGAAGACAGTCTTGGCGCGAGACAGAATCTTGCCCAAACCCTTCTTCTCCTTCGGGACCGAAGGCCCGGCCTGTGCTGGCGAACTCATGTTTAGCGATGTAGTTGCAGGTTTGCGTTTTAGTCGGATCGATTGCGAAAACGTGGGATCCCTGGGTCAATTGTGGGCTGCTCTGGGGATAGACGGTAGGATCTGCAGTGCACTAAAATCCAAATGAACAGGACCGTAATGCTGCTGTTGTGGTAGATTTGCGAGAAGGGACAATTGTATTTGAGGGAAACGAGAAGTCGGTTTATCGTTTTGTAACAAGTCGAGTGTACGGGTGGCGTGGGTGAGGTGTAATGCGAAGATGGGTGGGAGAAATGGTGCTGTGTGGTTGAGCGATGTTGGTACGTGCAGTCTTAGACAGATGGGACCAGGGACCGGAGGCGATTAACTGGGCGTCGATCGTCGGCGGTTACAGCGAAGCGGGAAAGTCGAGATGTGAGTGCTGGCGAAAGCAAGATCCTTCGCAAGACGGTGTTTGTCCTCTTCTTGCCGTGACCTTTTTGTGGGACGGGCGAGAAAGAGAGCAGGAGTCGGATCACGAACGAACTGTTCAAGTTGTTCGGAATGAGTCGGCCTGGGAGAGAGGGTGTGGTGTAAGAAGGGGGAAGACGAGGAAGAAGAAGGACGGGAAAGCAAGGTAAGTTGACGGGGAGGAGGTGGTTGAAAGGAAGTGTGGGAAAAAGTGGGAAAACAAGGTGCAGCGTGCTAAGAGGCAAGGTTGAGGGAGGCTAGAGTCGAGAAGGGCTAGTGCTGGGTGGAAAGGCAGGTGCCAGGCTTTGGTTTGGTTT